TAATAAATCTGGTCTTGTTTTTACCCTAATTATATGTTTTAGACAAGACCCTCATGGACAAGGTTCTACAATCGATTTACCCCAGCATGATTGCAGCTGCAGATTTTCTTTCGAACACTAAACGACTTGTGCAAGCTATCGAGCTGTGGAAAGAGTGCTTAACATTCCTAAAAAACAAACACTTAGAGAAAGAAAATGACCTTGCCAGAAAAGTGAGTATGATGCTGTACAATAGGCTGTGTCATGGGTATGCTGCTATTTACAAACTTTCTCCCGCTATAGAATCTGGCAAAAAGCTTTTAGTCCTGCTTCGTAAATGTAAGAGAAAAAAGGAAGAACGTGACACAGCCTGGATGCTAGCAATACTGTACTATCAAAAAGGTGAATACAAGGAAGCACAACAATATCTTCAGACAGCACTTACCATCAACACAAAAATTGGCGACAAAGACGGACAAGCGTCATGCTACATAAACCTAGGAAACGTGTTTCATTCTGTCGGAGAATATGCCAAGGCTGAAGAATATCTTCAGAAAGCACTTCCCATCAAGAAAGAAATTGGCGACAAACACGGACAAGCGTCATGCTACATAACCCTAGGAAAAGTGTTTCGTTCTGTTGGAGAATATGCCAAGGCTGAAGAATATCTTCAGAAAGCACTTACCATCAAGACAGAAATTGGCGACAAACACGGACAAGCGTCATGCTACATAACCCTAGGAAACGTGTTTGGTTCTGTCGGAGAATATGCAAAGGCTGAAGAATATCTTCAGAAAGCACTTACCATCAAGACAGAAATTGGCGACAAACACGGACAAGCAACATGCTACATAAACCTAGGAAAAGTGTTTCATTCTGTCGGAGAATATGCCAAGGCTGAAGAATATCTTCAGAAAGCACTTCCCATCAACACAGAAACTGGCGAAAAACACGGACAAGCAACATGCTACATAAACCTAGGAGACGTGTTTCATTCTGTCGGAGAATATGCCAAGGCTGAAGAATATCTTCAGAAAGCACTTACCATCAACACAGAAATTGGCGACAAACACGGACAAGCGTCATGCTACATAACCCTAGGAAAAGTGTTTCGTTCTGTTGGAGAATATGCCAAGGCTGAAGAATATCTTCAGAAAGCACTTACCATCAACACAGAAATTGGCGACAAACACGGACAAGCGTCATGCTACATAACCCTAGGAAAGGTGTTTGATTCTGTCGGAGAATATGCCAAGGCTGAAGAATATCTTCAGAAAGCACTTCCCATCAACACAGAAATTGGCGACAAACACGGACAAGCGTCATGCTACATAAACCTAGGAAACGTGTTTGGTTCTGTCGGAGAATATACCAAGGCTGAAGAATATCTTCAGAAAGCACTTACCATCAAGACAGAAATTGGCGACAAACACGGACAAGCAGCATGCTACATAAACCTAGGAAAAGTGTTTTATTCTGTCGGAGAATATGCCAAGGCTCAAGAATATCTTCAGAAAGCACTTCCCATCAAGACAGAAATTGGCGACAAACACGGACAGGCGTCATGCTACGTAAACCTAGGAAACGTGTTTGCTTCTGTCGGAGAATATGCCAAGGCTGAAGAATATCTTCAGAAAGCACTTCCCATCAACACAGAAATTGGCGATAAACACGGACAAGCGTCATGCTACATAAACCTAGGAAACGTGTTTCATTCTGTCGGAGAATATGCCAAGGCTGAAGAATATCTTCAGAAAGCACTTCCCATCAAGACAGAAATTGGCGACAAACACGGACAAGCGTCATGCTACATAAACCTAGGAGAAGTGTTTCGTTGTGTCGGAGAATATGTCAAGGCTGAAGAATATTTTCAGAAAGCACTTCTCATCAACACAGAAATTGGCGACAAACACGGACAAGCGTCATGCTACATAAGCCTAGGAAACGTGTTTCATTCTGTCGGAGAATATGCCAAGGCTGAAGAATATCTTCAGAAAGCACTTACCATCAACACAGAAATTGGCGACAAACACGGACAAGCGTCATGCTACATAAGCCTAGGAAACGTGTTTGATTCTGTCGGAGAATATGCCAAGGCTGAAGAATATCTTCAGAAAGCACTTACCATCAACACAGAAATTGGCGACAAACACGGACAAGCGTCATGCTACATAAACCTAGGAAACCTGTTTCATTCTGTCGGAGAATATGCCAAGGCTGAAGAATATCTTCAGAAAGCACTTCCCATCAAGAAAGAAATTGGCGACAAACACGGACAAGCGTCATGCTACATAACCCTAGGAAAAGTGTTTCGTTCTGTTGGAGAATATGCCAAGGCTGAAGAATATCTTCAGAAAGCACTTACCATCAAGACAGAAATTGGCGACAAACACGGACAAGCGTCATGCTACATAACCCTAGGAAACGTGTTTGGTTCTGTCGGAGAATATGCCAAGGCTGAAGAATATCTTCAGAAAGCACTTACCATCAAGACAGAAATTGGCGACAAACACGGACAAGCAACATGCTACATAAACCTAGGAAAAGTGTTTCATTCTGTCGGAGAATATGCCAAGGCTGAAGAATATCTTCAGAAAGCACTTCCCATCAACACAGAAACTGGCGAAAAACACGGACAAGCAACATGCTACATAAACCTAGGAAACGTGTTTCATTCTGTCGGAGAATATGCCAAGGCTGAAGAATATCTTCAGAAAGCACTTACCATCAACACAGAAATTGGCGACAAACACGGACAAGCGTCATGCTACATAGCCCTAGGAAAAGTGTTTCGTTCTGTTGGAGAATATGCCAAGGCTGAAGAATATCTTCAGAAAGCACTTACCATCAACACAGAAATTGGCGACAAACACGGACAAGCGTCATGCTACATAACCCTAGGAAAGGTGTTTGATTTTGTCGGAGAATATGCCAAGGCTGAAGAATATCTTCAGAAAGCACTTCCCATCAACACAGAAATTGGCGACAAACATGGACAAGCGTCATGCTACATAAACCTAGGAAACGTGTTTGGTTCTGTCGGAGAATATACCAAGGCTGAAGAATATCTTCAGAAAGCACTTACCATCAAGACAGAAATTGGCGACAAACACGGACAAGCAGCATGCTACATAAACCTAGGAAAAGTGTTTTATTCTGTCGGAGAATATGCCAAGGCTCAAGAATATCTTCAGAAAGCACTTCCCATCAAGACAGAAATTGGCGACAAACACGGACAAGCGTCATGCTACGTAAACCTAGGAAACGTGTTTGCTTCTGTCGGAGAATATGCCAAGGCTGAAGAATATCTTCAGAAAGCACTTCCCATCAACACAGAAATTGGCGACAAACACGGACAAGCGTCATGCTACATAACCCTAGGAAACGTGTTTCGTTCTGTTGGAGAATATGCCAAGGCTGAAGAATATCTTCAGAAAGCACTTCCCATCAACACAGAAATTGGCGACAAACACGGACAAGCGTCATGCTACATAAGCCTAGGAAACGTGTTTGATTCTGTCGGAGAATATGCCAAGGCTGAAGAATATCTTCAGAAAGCACTTACCATCAACACAGAAATTGGCGACAAACACGGACAAGCGCCATGCTACATAAACCTAGGAAACCTGTTTGGTTCTGTCGGAGAATATGCCAAGGCTGAAAAATATCTTCAGAAAGCACTTACCATCAACACAGAAATTGGCGACAAACACGGACAAGCGTCATGCTACATAAACCTAGGAAACGTGTTTCATTCTGTCGGAGAATATGCCAAGGCTGAAGAATATCTTCAGAAAGCACTTACCATCAACACAGAAATTGGCGACAAACACGGACAAGCGTCATGCTACATAAACCTAGGAAGCGTGTTTCTTTCTGTCGGAGAATATGCCAAGGCTGAAGAATATCAGCAGAAAGCACTTCCCATCACGACAGAAATTGGCGAGAAACGCGAAGAAGCGATATCCTACGGAAACCTTGGATCTTTGTGTCTAACTATCGGTGAACATGCCAAGGCTGAAGAATATTTTAGAAAAGCTATTCAACTTAGCAAGGACACTGGAGACATCGAATCGCAGTTTAAAGCTCACCTAAGTCTAAATTATTGTTCTTTAGCATTAACAGGAAACGCATCTGAAGCTTTATCGAATCTCCGTACTAGCATTGAGAAGTGCGAGATAATCCTTAACTTTCTACCAAACAAAGATCGATACAAGATATTATTTTTTGATGAGCACGCGTCCCCCTATCGACTGTTTAGTTCTCTGTGTTGTGCTTCTGGGAAACACTATGAGGCTTTACACGTTGCTGAGCTTGGCAGAGCCAGAGCTCTAGTAGACCTAGTATCAGATCGGTATTTTGTGGAGAAAGAAGTATCCCTCGACCCAGAATCGTTTGCTGGCATTTTGAAGGTCATTAGAGATAGTACTTGCCTATACATTTCCTACCATGGTGAAGATATATTTCTTTGGACTGCAAAACAAAGGAAGCCGATAGCTTTCCGAAAAACGAAACTTTTTGAGAGCTATGTTAGCAAGTACGGAAAACTGTCTGTGGATGACCTTTTTAAAGAGGGAAGATTATTAAGAAATTTTCACGTTTTACCTCAAGAGCAATGCGAAGACCGATCACTCTTCTCCACGTACGCCAACCAACTTACAAACGAAGCAAACCTGGAAGTTAGTCTCTCATCCTTGCGTCCTCTTTTAGATGAGGAAGAAGTAATCACAGACCCTGAACTGCCAACACTGTTTCAGATTTACAACATGTTGATTGCTCCCGTAAGTGACTTGCTAGAAGGATCTGAAGAAATCATTGTTGTTCCTGATCGCTGCCTCTTCCAAGTTCCGTTTACAGCATTACATGATAAATGTAACCGCTATTTATCAGACACTTTCAAGATACGCATTGTACCTTCTTTGACGACTCTCAAGCTCATTCTGGACAGTCCAGCGGGCTCTCACAGCGAAACTGGTGCATTGATTGTGGGTGAGCCGAATGTAACGGATGTGTATTTCAAGGGAGAGTTAAGGTACCTCTGTAAATTGCCTGGCGCGAAAGCGGAAGCAAAGATGATAGCAAGACTACTACCTGAATCTCACCTTTTAATAGGAGAGCAAGCAACAAAGGAGGCGGTTCTTCAGAGGATACCCTCAGTAAGTCTCGTACATTTCGCTGCTCATGGTGACGCCGAAAGAGGGGAAATTGCTCTTACTCCTCCCGACTCCACTATGGGGATTCCACATGAACAAGACTACTTACTCTCAATGGCCGAAATCTCACAAGTTAGACTAACCGCCAAACTGGTGGTCCTTAGCTGTTGCCATACCGCACGTGGACAGATCAAAACAGAAGGCGTTGTTGGAATCGCTCGAGCATTCTTAGGATCGGGTGCACGCTCAGTAGTGGTGGCATTGTGGGCCTTACAAGACGATGCAACAGAGCAGTTCATGAGAAGATTCTACGAAAACCTTGTCCAAGGAGAAAGTGCAAGTGAATGTCTTCACCGGGCCATGAAGTGGATGCGAAATAACGGTTTCTCTGAAGTGAGGCAGTGGGCACCTTTCATGCTGATTGGGGATGACGTGTCATTCCACTTTGGTGAAGAATTAAAAGTAAAGTGAAGGTAATTGCTTTCCAATAATAAGGGCCATAGGAAGTCTGCCAGGTCTTTTTGTATTGCAGTTTTATCAACTTTACATCATGTACTTTTAAGTACTAAATAAAAAGCAGTATTTACACTTATATGCCACATTGTTGACTAAATCTGAAGTCAGCTTTTACAATGACTGAGGTAAAATATCAACCGTTTTTTTAACATCGAAGATACATAGAGGATATTACACGGTGGCGAGAAGGTATGAATTTTATGTTCGAGTGGCAAGAACAATATCTCACGAGTGAGCGAAGCGAACGAGTGAGATATTGTTCTTGCCACGAGAACATAAAATTCATATCTTCGAGCTAACGTGTAATGTTCTTTTTATTATATGGAGAAACCAATTCAACAAAAGCAATAGGCGGGAATCGTGACGTCATTGAACGATACGACACTCACAAAGGTGACATACGGAAAATACGCCACTCGGGTCCCGGATGAAGTGGCGTATGGAATCTACGAGTGGTTTAGTTCCCAGTAAAACACTCTCCTCCATATAATAATAAACAATAGTGACCGCACGCTTCAGCTAGCGCTCCGCGTTATCGCATATGTGTATTTGTTGTTAGGCTATAGTTAAGATCATTTCTTCTTTTTCTTCGTCGACTAATGTTACTTTTAGTTGTATTAAGTTGTATTTTTTTTCCTGTAAAGATGACCCGCCTTCCCGCGAGCATGTTATAATTATGCTGTTACCTCAAAACACAAAAAAAAAATGTATGTATATATGTAAACACCACAATTATTTGACCACACTTCGGTATTTATCAGTCAAAATCACAACCTATGCATATGTGAGGCTTTGCATTTAAAAACAAAAACACTAAAGCCCCGTATTCCTACAGTAACACAGAATGATTTTAAATCTTTTCTCTTTTCCTTATATATGAAGCACAAATAATTGAATATTGTTTCGGGATAAAAATATTATGGCGGAGATCTAGATCTGAAAATTGATCGAAAACCCCGAAAACTACAAATTGTGGACTGTGTATGGAGTTTTGACCGTAACTAGAGGGCTTTTCACGGACACTGACTGAAGTACATCAGTACACTGGTTCTAAACTTGGACCAAAGAGGAAAGACTGAGATTCGAGAGGTCATCAAGGAAAGAAGTTTCAAACCTATGTTAGCTGTGCACCCTGTTTTTCATTTATGATGCCAGTAATTGGAAAGTTTTAGCGGTGAGATAATTTTAAATAAGTAATTAAACCTCTTCCGTGACAATAAAGCCGGAGGATCCCTCTTCCATGTAAAATGAACCTAAATGCCATTTACCTCAGCCGAAGTCTTTTGTAGTGAATGTATGTGTTTTACTAATTCTTATGTTTCCTATACATTACTGTTGCAGGTATTACACTAACGACACACCATCGAATAACAAAACAGCCCTTCCGCTGAATTCCAGTGAGGTAGTTCGTGGTGGAAAATGTAAAGGTCAACCTCTTCAGCATACGAACATAACCCAGACAAGAAGAATTCAAAAGAGAACTGACTTGCTTGGCCCAGCCGCTCATGTTTGTCGACTTAATTATTTTTCCCACTGATTTTAATCTGTGTGTGTGCGTGGGTGTGTGTTTGAGTGTAGGTGCCTTGAATACTCTAATCTCTAAAATGTCTTGCAAAAGTGCTGATCACCAGCTTTGTAAAAGTGTACATCGGTAGCTCGGACAATGATACAACTGTAATTGCGACACGAATAACATTTCCCTATCTATTTAGGTTATTTGTTAACTTACTTTCTTAATTAGTTCCCAGGGCTACAACTAAAAAATACTTTTCACGTAAACGAGATTCTTAATGCAAATTGAAGTGCAAATGCAAACAACACTGCAAGGTTTATAGTTTAGTAGAATTGTATA